GAATCCAACAGAAAATCTATGGAAAGAACTAAAGATCAGAGTTCATAGAAGAGGTCCACGAAACCTAACTTCATTTCTGGACATTTATGGTTTGATTTCTTTGTATGGATGGATCACTTGGGTTGTTACCAACATCTAGTGAAAATTTCATGTCATTAGCACCTCTAGAAATATATTTACTGAGAAAAATGGTGATGTGTTCAATACTTAATTTACCCGCTGTATACTCAAGAAAAAACCTATAGAAGGACTGAACAAAAAGTCTGTGCTGTACACAACTTGTTTCTCGTGAGCTGAAGGAACATCTTGAATCAAAACCGAGGTTATTCCCTCTGACTCTGGCATCCTGTTTCCCACCTGACAGATCTCCAGTGTTTACACGTGGAGAGTTCTTTATGGTTATAGATCAGGTTTTTTTTTTTAAGTAGCCTGAGAGTGTGACAGAGTGTGAAGTTTTAACGTCTTCAACACTTGTTTGGCTTGAGTTTCTACACAAATACGTCTACACAAATAAATGACATAGAACGTTAAATATGGGGAGATCCAGGGGGTCCACCAGAGCAGACCTGCAAACTAAATGACTTTTCCACACAGAACAGATGAAGTTTGGTCTGGCATACCTCATCAGTTACGTAAGACTTTTGGAAGCGTTTTATAACATAATATTGGGTAATTCTACAATAAAATGTTCCAGCAAGCAGAAGACAAGGACAGAGAAAGATTTAGTGATAGTATAAATGACAACTTTGACATGCTCGTGTGTTAGATGGAAGTAATCCGGGTCAAAAGGAATTCCCTGTTGTATTTCTTCTCTTTATTATGGCATTTTACTGAAACCGTGGTGATGTTTTATTTCTTTTAGTCCACCAGTTATAAAGTAAAGAACACAGGTTATGGTAAAAACTAAAATGAGAGGGTGTAAAAATCTGCCCTCTCAGTTTGACAAACCATACACGTGGATTCACAATCTGTTCCCTAAGCTGAATAAATCATTCACATTAATTTGCAATGCATTCCTTCAGTTTACCACACAGTGCAAATGGATTCAAAATAATTTCCCCTTATTTTAGTAATGTTTCACATTTTTTGAAATGTGGATTCAAGACTCAGAAAAACAAGCAGACCGTACAAAACAGTCTAATTTTAAACAAAACAAGTCCACTTTTAAACTGAACAAATATTTAGAGACTTTCAATAAAGAAGAATTAAAACAAAAGATTATTCTTATATAAACTGACGTGTTTTGTAAATGTCTGATTCAAACTTGTGTATTTGTGACTTAGGTGAAAATCAGACAGCTCTATTAATGTTGTTAAATATTACTGTTTTTATTTGTGTATAATACAATCTCATGTATAATAACCCCCCTGCCCCATTTTTTATCTTAAAAAGCATTCTCATACTACCTCTAATTTCAGACGGAGTTCAGGTTTTTTCAGCCTTTGTCTTTATACATTTCAATAAAATGATCATTTGACTGTTGTATCAGTTTTTTAAATTTTATTTTAACAACACATGTACTAAAAGGTTCACAATAACAAACGTATAACAGTAACTACAACAAAAACTATCAATGTGAAATTTAGCAACATTCTTTTGTGAACTGGTGTTATAAAGTAAACAGACAGAGCTATGTGGCTCTAACAAGTGTGGATGGAGCTGAATTAAAAGCCTTCAAAATCAGGCTCACCATAATCTGTATCATTAAAAGGTTTCTAGTATTCCTCCTCTGTAATAAAGGCATCAGAATCCCACTTAACAACAATCTCATCCTCTGTCTCGTGAGCGCCCCCTCTGGTGGGGAAACTTTTTTAAGGCAGACTAACTTTTACAGAACACCAGTAGACGGCAGCCATTACAGCTGACCATGTGTTTGTTTTTGTTCCAGCAGAAGCCCGGTCGCATTAATGCCATTCGTTTGTTCTCATTACTAAGCTGCAGGACTGCCTTTTTTCCTTTTTTTTTTCACTTCATGTTGCCTGCCTGGATCTGTTACTACCTAGCTCAGAGGCACGAAGGAGTGTCAGAGGTAAGCTCGCTTCAACAACATTTTACGACATGGTCTCATTTCTGGAATGTAAATAAGGTTATATTTCAGTTAAAATACACCAGCAAAAAAATTGATCCGAGTATATTACTAATCCCTAACATTGTGGATGATTTTATGGATTATACAACCGCCCCTTTTTAAGCTTAAAAAGCATAAAAATTTAATCCTCAAACTACCTCCAATTTCATACAGACTTCAAGATTTTTGAGCCTTTGCAGTCTTTAT